TCATCATAATCTGGAACCAAAAGAAGCTTTACAGAGAAACCAGCCTCTTTTTCGATGTAACCATTATACCATTAATCAATACCCCTTAGTAATTAATCACAGATCTTTAATTCAAAGCATCTGGCTGCCTTAGCACTTAAGCCTTAAAGGACTGAAGTCCACATAAGCATTTCCCACCAAGAAGTTCAGAATGATCTAATTTGGAATAAGGAATTTCCTGTCACCACCAGTCCCAGCTCTGTGAAGTAACTAAGGCTGCAATCCGAAGGACACTTTCTTTAGAGGAAGGCCCACTGAACAACATGAAACTTTGAAATATACAAGCTTGGATTTCTCCAATATCTCTATTTCTTTACTTGAAAATATTCTCAGAACTGGGGAAATCTCTCCTAACCTTCTCAGCCAATCAGAGGGCACACATATGAGCTCACCAGATTCCACTCCCTTCTCCTAGGTTGGGAAAAAAAGGATCTGGCCAGAATTTGGATCCAAATTGACTTTTTTGCCTGCCCAAGACTTGTTGTTGTTCAGTCGCACAGTCAAGTCTGACTCTTCGTGACCCCGTGGACCATATCCTCGGGACCTTCTTTCAAACTTGTGCACAGAGCTTCATCGCTTTGTTACAAGACCTTTTAGTTTGTATGTGTCACTGCCCAGTCTGGGCACATTCCCTTAAGCCACTAGCTCCTAGAAACTAATGGAGTAGGTTACCCTAATGTGCAGCTGAGACCAAACTGGAAACTGCCCCTATTCACGTGGATATGTATCACCTAGGGTACACATGTCTTCCTAACCACACCAGGCAACACTATCAGCAGACAGATGAAATTGGGCACAAATACTCCATAAATGTTTTGCCACCATTAAGAGCTGCTGCCCCTAGGAGCAGGAACTAATTATGCTTCTGCAGTAATTGAAACAATACCATAATGACAGACACAAATTTTATTTATTGCCTCTTTATCAGGGCTATCATTCAGAGCAGCACCCTGATACTTAAGATGGCTAAGATTTATTTTCTCCCAATATCTAAAGCATTCTGCAATTTTTATTTCCTCCATGCTACTCAAATCCATTGAGCTGTATACACAGTACAGGATGATAGGATCATTGTTCTGGAAAGGAGAAGTAAAAATGAATCTCTAAGGAAAGTTCAAGTGACAGCTAAATGGACTTTGGGGGAAAAAACAGTTGTTCACAGAGACACAATTCATTTGCTACTTAAACAAAAAGCTTTTGAAATTCTCAGTTACCTGAAATACCTTTGGAATTCCTCCAGCACTGTAGTGAACCACCAGAGTCACTTTGCTATCACTATCCACAACTTCAAATGTCCCTTCTTTCCATTTTGTGGTCCCAGTTTGTAGGCTGCGCATGCGAATGGGTCCATGTAACTTCAGTGGAACCATGTTTTCATATAGTTTATAGCTGTTTTATATTTTAAATGCAAATATGTTTAAGTTACAATTAGTAGCTAGTCAATAAACATTAGAATCATGTAACCAAAGGTAACTATTAAATAAAAAATACTACCAAATAAAAGGCTATTGCATTGACACTCTGAAATGCCAAACCCTGTAACTCAAAGATTCTAAAACTCTTCTAAATGTTATTTACTTCTAAAAGATCCAAAGAAGCTAACTCAAGTCAATATAGGCATTACAAAATATATTAGAATTGTAATGGAATTCATTAACATTATGTGAACAACCCAAATGTTAGCCATGACTGGATTTGATGGGATGAACCATCAATTTAAGACTCCAATACTTCCAGAACAAAATTATGTACAAATAAAACTGATAACTGAATTCTTAGATTGGCAAACAAGTAAAATATGACAGGCCACTACCGTGAAGCCAACAATGCCAATACATTAAGTCACATATTTTTATTGTTCATTAGCAAGGACAGGAATGAGCGCTTACTCTAGTGCCATAAAAGTGGACAGCGGGCTTAGCAACAAAGGAAAGCTACTCTTATTGGCCACCTGCTTTAACTGCACCCAGCTCCAAACAGAAACGCAAGCAACAACTGCACGTGTATAATTGAAGTCACTGCAATTTTTAGAGTTAATCTCTTTGTTTCACAATAACAGTAAGAGCAAAAATATTAATTTATTTTATTTCTCTCACAGAGCCCTAGAAACAATCATTTGGGGAACTTTAGTTACAACTTTAAATTGTCATACTTGCCTAACAGTGTACTTGGCAGTGGTATCTATCCATTGTTATTAATTTTATAAAATAATTAATAATTTAAATTTCCACAGAAGTTTTGCTAGATTTCTAGATTCCAGCAGTAAAAAAACCAAGGCAGTCATGCCACATAACATAAAGAACCATCCCTTCCCCAACAGGTGATCAGGCTGCTAACCTCAAATAGACAGCAATAATGTCCTTAAGCCCTTGACTCTAATTTTACTAATGCAGCAGCTTCTAAAATTTATTTTACTGTTAGCATCCCAATTATGCATTTATTTTAACCAGACTCAATGGTATTTCATTTTAAATCAGATACATTATTTTGCAAAAATAAACCCAGGAGCCTTTGAAATGAAATGGGATATAACGCTAAATACGGTAGATATATGAACAACAGGTCAATTAGAGTAAGAATCACACTATTTATAAGTCTCAGAAAGGGGGGGTAATAGATTTTTTGTGGCATATTAACAAAGGATGCAAGAGCTTATTTCATCAGATGCATGAAGTGATCACTGCATACATGCAGATGGATTCGAAGAATGTGAAAAAAACTTTTTTATAAGGTGAAATTTTTTTTAAAGGATCAAATTCTGACAGGAGAATAAAATTTTGATTCATTCGAAAGAATGTTAAAGTAAAATCCCTAGATGCCACAACCTGTGGAAGGCATTTCTGGAGTGTAATGTGTTAAACATATGCACACACAAAAAAGTCAACTACTAAATGCTAGTCAACCAAGAATACAGTTGCTTTTAAACAGAACTTTTAAAAAGTATACAACATCTAGTTACTCTGTCTATAACTAGTAAAATAATGATTAAAAATGCTTATACCCTGCTGTACTCAAAAAGCTCTTCAATGCCTTGCAATACCCTACAGAAATCTAGATACTACTACAAGATTAACCTAGTTATTCTAATTTCCAGTGAATATATCCCTCATATACAGGGATATTTCATGAAAGGCGGCTGTTCCATGGATGGACTGTAAACACAGTCCAGCCATTGTTTCTGGACAAGCATGTCAATAATTGTTCTTGCAAATAGTTACAAGTGTTACAGCAACTTCTGCCTCTAAATATTGGCTGTACCTGAAATCTTATTAACGTAAGATTTTATTTGACCACATATCAAAGCCAGTGGCTTGCATTATCACTCCTTTCAGCACTAACAACCTGATCCTGAACAATGGTAAACACACCGGGCACACACGCTGGCTTCAATGACTCTAATGGCCTAACCCTGTATAGTAGTGGTTCTCAACCTTCCTAATGCCGCAACCCTTTAATACAGTTCCTCATGTTGTGGTGACCCCCAACCATAAAATTATTTTTGTTGCTATCATAAGACCATCGAAAATTTGTGTTTTCCGATGGTCTTAGGAAACACAGTCCAGCCATTGTTTCTGGACAAGCATGTCAATAATTGTTCTTGCAAATAGTTACAAGTGTTACAGCGCGACCCACAGGTTGAGAACCGCTGCTCTATAGGATCAGGCTACTAGAGTGTGGCCGCGACTGTCGGGAAAGGAGAAAGGCGGGAGAGAGCCAAGCTGGAATTCAGGTACGACTCTGAACACTGCTATTTGCTTGAGGACACTCTAGCTCTGACTTTGATAGCCACATATGTGTTTTTGGACCTAAATTGGAAGATGTTCTAATTCGGCAACTGTGCATTTGGCACCTGACACAGGACTTTCACCTTCTGAGGCCTCATGAACACCTTTGTCATGTGCCTCTGGTTATTGCTGCTTAAGTAAGTAATATAGCCATTTTTACTCCACTGTAAATTTTAAAAATGTATTATTTATACTCATTTTTTCCTTTTTTCTACAGCCTTCCTCTTCCTGGTCCATATCTCCACTTATTGGCTATCTTACTGAAATGTGTATTTAAGTTACCTGTACCTCAACCCTGTTTGATCTCTGAAGAAGACCCCCCCAGTGGGGCGGGAACGCGTCAGGTCATGTGTCTTCTTGGCCCTTGTGTTTCGGCTATACTTTTTTCACGAGGCTTTCACTGGGCCCCGATGGATGTTTTTTTTAACTGTCATTCTAATAAATACTTGTCTTTTGGTATAGTATAAGTTTTAACTAGGGTTTTTTTTTTAATATTGGCCCTCCGCTAGACTTTCTTCTCACCCTTCTGGTTCTTGATTCCAGTTTTTTGGGTTCAGGTTTGTTTCCCCCTCCCTGCGTCTTGCTGACTCTGAAGGCTTCCAGGAAGGGGAGACGGGAAAAGAGCGAGCGGGAAAGGAGCCAGGCTGGAGGCCGGGAGGAGGTTGACTGGAGAGGCGGCCGCTGAGGGCCACGATCCTAAGGCCCCCTAAGGCCACGCAGTCGCTCGCGGCGATTCGGTCCCCCACCGGGATCCGGCCCGACCCCCAACGCCGGCTACGCACCGATGAGAACGGCGGCGACGGCCCGCCTTCCCGCCAAGCTGGCCCGAGCTCTTCTCACTCACCGCCACACGCCGGCCTCGATTCGGCCTGACCCAGCCCGGCCTCCCCGTCGCTCTCCACAGATGGCGGGAACCTGGTCGGCCGCGCGACCGCCCGTCTGACGCAAACACGCCGATCAAAAAAAAAGCAAAAAACACACGCAACCACCCTATCCCGCTCAGAGAAAAGATGGGGCCTTTACGTCATCACGCCGACGTGCTTCTCTCGTCCAGAAATCGCCCTCCGACTGCGGGCGCTCCGCCGCCGAATCGTACGCCTGACCCAGACGCTCTCACCTCCACGCATGCGCAGTCTTTAACACGCGCGCGCGTTCGCTTTTCGCGGGGAGGTTTCACTGCGCATGTGCTCCTCGGGTCTTCTCTGGCCGGCGGCTGATGCCCGGAGAGGTCAGAGGTCACGGCAGTGGCAGGAGCGTCGGGAAGGGGGCGGTGGCCTGGGAGTGGACCCATCATGGCCGCGGCTGAGGTAGAAGTGGTTCCTTGAAGCGGCCGGGTAGAAGTTTCCGACCATGCACAGTTTAGCGACGACTGCGGTAAGGCTAGGCCTGTGGTCGTTTTCTCCGCTGGGGGCAGGGAGACGAGGGGGCCCGGCGCCTGGTGGTACAGAACGTCCCTCTTTCTCATTGGTTGGTGAATTTGGGGAGGGGTGGCGGTGGCAGAGGCGACACTTTTCCCGCCAAACAGGGGGATGCTGATTTCTTCCACTTCCCCCCCCCCCATTCATCCTGGCGGGGGCTTCCGCTTTGCTTTGGGAAAGAGAGCCGTTGGCTTCTCACGCCGGACTCGGCGTTGTTTGTTTCACATGTGCTAATAATCTGTGCAGGTTTGTCGTTGCTTGTTGCTCGGTGCTGCCGAAATATGGATGGAGAGGCTAATGCCATAGATGAAATCTTGTTAACTGATGGGTGGCCGTCATATTTTCATATGTCGTATTATGCAAATGAGCTCTAGGTACAGCTGTCATCTGCGCTAGGCCCACCTGCACCACAGATTTCAGATGCCTTCTCGATGGGGTACTGTTCTTAAGTGTTGCTTTAGACACAGGAATCAAATGGCAAGCGTGCCTTGGAGAGTTGGAGCAATAGTGGTTAAGTGTGTGGACTCTAATCTGGGAGAACCGGGTTTGATTCCCCACTCCTCCACAGGCAGCTGCTGGATGACCTTGGGTAAGCCATAATTCTGTCAGAACTGTTCTCTCAGTTCTGGAAAGAGCTCTCTCAGCCCTGCCTACCTCACAGGGTGCCTGTTGTGGGGAGGGGAAGGGACGGGAAAGGAGTTTGTAAGCCGCTCTGAGACTCCGAGTGAAGGGTGGGGTATAAATCCAATCTCTTCTTCTTCTAGTTGGGGGGAATGATCCTGACCAGTGAATCACTGTCTACAATGTTACTTACATGAAAGCAACTCATTTGGGAATTGTTTCCAAGATTACAGGCCAGTGTTTGCTATAGAGGCATCTCCTTAGTAGTGGCAGAGAGATCGGTTTTTATGCAGGGGATCAAAGCACAAATGGGTTATGTCAGGGCTTCCCCTTTTTCGCTCAAGGTGCACTAGGGAGTAAAAATACATGATAGGAAATTGGTGTTCTTCATAGGGTATTTATGTACTTCTCTTTATAACCTACCTTTCTCACTGAGGTTTAAGGCAAATTTTCTTCCAGAGGGGCATCTGGCATTTGGTGCTCCGTATGTGATGTATATTGAGCTGCGGTGGCTCAAGTGGTTAAGACGCTGAACTGCAGGCTGTGGAAGGTCAGTAGTTCAGCAGTTCGAGACCTGGGTGCCGCAAGATGGAGTGAGCTCACGTCTCTAGTTCCAGCTCCTGCCAACCTAGCAGTTCAAAAGCAAGAAATTGCAAGTAGATAAATAGGTACCACTTTGGTGGGAAGGTAACAGCGTTCCGTGCGCCTTGGTGTTTAGTCATGCTGGCCATATGACCACGGAAACGTCTTCGCACAGCGCTGGCTCTTCGGCTTTGAAACTGAGATGAGCACCGCAACCCTAGAGTCGGATTCGACTGGCTTTCGAGCAAGGGAACCTTTACCTATGTGATGCACAGGAGAGGTGAAGAGGTTTCTGTCTTCCCTATCTAGACTAGTTTAGTGAATCTGTTTTCTGTTGTAAAAGTCAGGAGGTTAGTGATCTCTGCTGGTTGATGGCAAATACTGTGTTAACTTTGGGCAGAATTAGATATTACTTTCTTTGACAAGCCTTTATTGGCATATGTATATACATACAATAGGAGATCAGAATACATAAAAATCAGAAAATACAAATCCATATAGGGTAAAATTGGAGCTACAGTGCAGAAAAACAGCATAAAAGCGGAAAAACCTATAGCCATAGCACTAAGAAGAAACATTGCTACTGTTTCAGTTATTTCTGTATCTTGATTATCAAGCAAAAACAACCTTAAAATTGTCAGGAATTACTGGGAATTGAGCTAATATAGGGTACAGAAGATCCTGGCAGGGCACCAAATAAAAGGGACATTGAAGGAGAACATGGGGGACAGTTTCAACACAGTCCTTCATACAAAGACAGCACCTGCTGGAGTAGGAGATCCCCTGGAATCTGCCAGAGAGAAGAGCAGAAGGAAGAACATTAAGTCTGGCCAAGGAGATGGCTCTGTGCAAATTTGGAGTTATAAGTTGATAAAGATATACAGCTGGAAGATCTGCATTTGGAACAATCCCTAAATTTAGGGGAGAACAGGTTCTGTTAGCCAAACTATAGAGAGTTTGAACCCTGAGCCCAATAAACTAGATTTTACTTTTTAAAAAGCCTCAGGCTCAGAAAGCAAAGGTAGAGATTCTAAGGGTAAGTTCAAGGAGCAGATTTTGGCTTTGATGTGAGACAGCCAGCTAGAATTGGCAGATTCAGAAAGTAATTGATACAGATAACTAGAGGGGTCAGAGTTGAAGTGGAGTCGCAACCAAAATTTGATGGTGTGGATCCATGCCTTAGTAGCCATCAAATTCTGTCCGCACTCCAAACATAAAGCAGCATATGGCACACACATGAGTACCCCCATGATCTTTTGCAAGAAATTAAGCAAACTCCGGAGCACAACAGAAGACAGGAGAGCCTGGCATGATGTGGTCCATGGGGTCGTGAAGAATCCGACTTGACTGTGCAACTGAACAACAACATACAGTGATTGAGCTCCAGTTTTAGCATTAAAAGCTTTGAGTGCAGCTGGCACATATTGGTTTCCACAGTCAGAAAAATAAAAATGATTGCTGCAGCACTGACTTTAGCTACATTAATAGCCATTCTGCGGTGATGGGTCCAAGTGGCACTACAATGAAAGTGGATGCCTAAGTATTTGAAGTGCCTGACCTGTTCAAATTTATTGCCATTAATAGTCCACTTATATAATTTCCGGGAATAGGGATAGACCAATGTCTTTGATTTTTCATAGTTCAGCTCCAATCTTTCAGTCACACAATATTCGTGGCAACTATTTAATAAGCGGTTTAATCCAACATAAGATGTAGACAAAAGAACGTGTCATCCGCATATAATAGCAAGGGAATAAGAGCAGAGCTGAGTCTAGGGCTGTGGCCACCAACTAATGACAGAAAAGGGGCAAAATCATTAAGAAAAAGATTAAACAAGTGGGGGGCTAAAATGCACCCCTGCTTAACCCACCTCCCAATAAGGATTTGAGGGGAAAGTCTCCCAATTAGATGTTACAAAGAAACAGCATTCCTGTGGCATTGTACCACCGCCATCTCATAACATGTAGTAACGTGATAAAATAATAGTGCAGCATGATGTTACAGCATTGCATGTTTGTTTTACTCAGCATTAATAGGAGAGGTTTGCTATGTTTGGTCGCAGCCAGTAAGGGTGGTTTTCTTGAAAAATTTGAATTGGACAATTTTCCAATACAAACTTAAACAGTGTTAGCAAAAGAAGATAGATATTCCATATACAAGTACTGTATATCCATGCTTCGTATCCTACATTTAGTCCATCTGTGATTGATTTGTAACCCAACGACCCTGACAACTGTAGAAAAACAGAGACTGTTTTTGCATATGTGGGGGTGGAAATTTTTCCATGGGAAAAATATATTTTCCCATAGAAAAATAATGAAATGCTGTATCACAGGTGGCAGCCCTGTTTTTTTGCCATCTCTTCAGCAGTGTGCCTAGATGTAGCAGTGTATTTTCTCCACACTTATGTTTTATCATTTTGTTACTTGCATTGTCCTTGGCAGACTCACACAAAGCCTTACTACTTTAAATAGTGGACAGCTAGATTTCTTTCAGGTATAGACAGTTATAACAGGAATTAGTCTAATTATGGCATTCATTTTTAATTGTTCACTCTTGAGGTTCTGGAAGTGCATAATGGGTAGGATGGTACAGTTTATGCCACTGGAAAAAAACTTAAGTAATATTTCCATTTACACAGAATATAATTATGAATAGAGGCCTCTTTGAAGTGGCCATAAAAACAGTTTCCCTAGCAAAGTACCTCCTTATTTCTTAAGATAAGTGCAACAATATATGGCTGCAGCTAGAGATGTCTTACAAAGACAATGCTGTGAATAAAAGTAGCAGTTACCCTGCAAGAACAGTTTCTTATGATCTTACTTGTTTTCATCTGGTTTCCTATATTGCTGAAAGTAATGAAGAAAAGAGAAATGGCTGTAGCTACTGCCACTTTTTTTATTTCTCTTCCCACCCCGAATGCTGCTGGTCTTATTTCTTTCCCCTTTCTCCGTGTCTGAGTTGGTGAGCCTGTTGCTCTTTGACTGGGAGTCAGGTAATGAACATCCTTCCTAAACAAGAGTTGTACAACATTAATCCTCAAAGCTAAAATAGAGTTGGGTGCCTGAAACAATAGTCAAATATACAAGGACCCCAGAATAGGAAGAGTAGGTCAGAACAATAGAAATGTCGCTCTACTTCTTTTGGCATGGGTCTACCATGGAGCAGAGTGCAAGCTGATAAGGGATGCAGAGTATGCTGGACCATTGTTAAACACTGGATGATGGTAGCTTTAACTTGCTTCCTCAGTGCTCACTTTTATCCCACTAAAATTTATAGTATAATACAAAATTATTTAATCTGGTTCCTAACCTGCTCTAGTATTTTACAGTTTCGCTCATGTCTGTCTGTCTAATAATCAGGAAGAGTTGCCAGTTCCATTCCCCATAATGAACAGAGACCCTGCTTTTAGTTGAGGTAAAAGTTTCCTTCCACTTGACTGGCAGAGGCTGTCCCATTAGAAGGTGAAGCAGAGTGAATGACCTAGATAGTAGGTCATGCAAGAACTATGATCTTTGCCCAAAATCCCATGCAGAACACTGAGCCCATGATGGCCAAACTCTCCAAGGAAATCTTGGGTCTGTGTCATTGTGTTAAGGAAAACTTTTTACTGCACACTGGCAATTTATAGAAGGTAAAATGATTAACTGTTGTGCTTGGTAATGAGGACTAGAGGTCCTGTGCTTGAGTCGGGGTGGTTCAGGGGTGGGGTTCCGACTCCCGACCTTCGACGGGGCACCATTGGTGCCAGCGCTGGAGGTTACGAGTTTGGAAGTGCTCCTGGATGCCTCCCTAACAATGGAGGCCCAGGTAGCAGCCACTGCCAGGTCGGCCTTTTACCATCTTCGGCTGATCAGGCAGTTGGTTCCCTTCCTCGACCGCGCTGACCTAGCAACAGTGATCCATGCTATGGTTACCTCGAGACTAGACCACTGTAACGCTCTTTACATGGGGCTGCCCTTGTTGCAGATCCAGAAGCTGCAGCTAGTGCAGAATGCTGCAGCCAGGCTTTTGATGGTTCTCCCCAAGTGGGAGCACATCCAGCCTGTGCTGCAGTAATTGCACTGGCTGCCAATAGCATACCAAATCCACTTCAAGGTGCTGGTTCTTACCGTTAAAGCCCTATATGGCCAGGGTCCAGCATCCCTGTGGGGCCGCCTTTCCCCATATATACCCCAGAGAGCACTTTGGTCAGGGTCTCAAAATTGATTGACCCTCCCTGACCCAAAAGAGGCCAGGCTTGCTACTACCAGGGCTTTCTCATCCCCATCCTGGTGGAACGAGCTCCCAGAGGAGATCAGGGCCTACAAGACGGAGCTCTTCCGCCAGGCTTTCTGCTAGGGTGCCGCCACCATTCTAGAGCCCTGGCTCTTGGGTTTAATATCTAGCCTGAGCCGCAGGAAGATCCTGAGCAGAAGGATTTTTAGAGAGTACGCTGAAATAAGCCATCTTGAGTAACTATTTTTTGCACTTTATGAAACTGTATTAATAATGGAATTGTTTTATATGGTTTTATGTGTTTGTAACTGTATTTTATGTACTGACTGTGAGCCGCCCTGAGCCTGCATTGTGGGTAGGGTGGGGTATAAATGTGATTAATAAATAAAAATAAATAAATAGACTCCCCCAAGTTTCAAAAAGATTGGACCTGGGGTCGATTCTGTGGGCACCCAAAGAAGGTGCCCCTATCCACCATTGTTTCCAATGGTGGGGGAAAACAGCAAAAAACCCAACAACCCAAGAACTGATGTCAAGCCAGAGAGTTTCTTCAGTAGAAACTGAAGGTGGGGGTGGGATTTTTCCAAGCACAGCAGAACCAGTGCATGTATCGAGTACCCCACAGAACCTCTTCAAATGCTGTTCGACTGTGGCTATTCTGTTTTCCTGGATAATCTCACATTCTGGGGGATTATCCAGGATTGGCTACTCTTGATAGCCAAAAACACATACCTCTCTATTTCCAGCTCGAATGCATGTGGACTACTATCTGGCAGCTAAGAATTTGGAAGCCTTGTTTTTGCTTCCCAGCAAAATATTCTGTGCTTCTCCCTGCCCCCATCAGTATTTTTTGTGTGTGTTGATATTTTAGGTTTACCTTAAACCTGAAATCTTGATGTGCATTCACTTTGAAGCCCCATTGACAGAAGCTGGACAATCACCCCTGAGTTTACATGGAAGTGTCTCCTTATTACTCTTGTTTGGCCTTGAAACTTTCTATGAGGCAATAGTAACAAGTTATTTTTATTGATCTTAAATCTTCATTCAAAGCCTGTGCCAACAGCACTGGCCCAGGTTGATAGAGAGAAGATTTATCAGTGGATTAATGAGCTTTCCAGCCCTGAGACTCGTGAGAATGCACTGTTGGAGCTTAGTAAGAAGCGAGAGTCAGTACCTGATCTTGCCCCGATGCTATGGCACTCCTTTGGCACAATTGCAGCTCTCTTACAGGTGAGTAAGATGCGTACTTTGACTGAAATAGCCGGCCATACAATTTGTTGGGCACCAGCCTCTGTTTATGTCTGCCATATGGTTTGGAAGCTGATATTCTTAGCAACCATGTGAATGAACTGTGATTCAGGAGGTCCAAACCTCATCCCTGTCCCTTACTCTTTTTCAGCTTTAGCCCCACCGCATCTTAATGTGAGGTACAACTGGCATATGCTACCTTGAATCCTGAAAGTGCTATTTAAATGCATAATATTGATATTATTTCTTAACTCATTAAACGTGTATGTATCAGCTGTCCTGGAAGATGGCAGTGAAGAACTTCAGCCAGCCTAAGTAGTGACATTTTGTACATTAAATTTGTAGTCATGGGGGAATGGTTGGATGCATTTGTATTGCAGCTATTCTGTAGAATCGTTTGAGCTCCCACACAAATAGTTCTGAAGAAGTGCGCATGCACACAAAATCTTATACCTTCAGTAAAACTTTGTTGGTCTTAAAGGTGCCACTGGACTTGAACTTTGTTCTAGTTCTTCATAGTTTTTGTGGGCAGCTTACTTGAAATTCTCCATCAAAATAAAAGTTTAGTCATAAAGGTCACATAAGGATTTTACAACTCATGGATATTGGAGAATGTATAAGAGGATAGAAGTATTTCCATGCAAATGTGTTTTTTCCTTCTGTCCCCCATGCCAGGAAATTGTAAATATCTACCCATCTATAAATCCACCAACTTTGACAGCTCATCAGTCCAACAGAGTCTGCAATGCTCTGGCACTTCTGCAGTGTGTTGCATCACATCCAGAAACTAGGTAAATGTGCTCTGTGTGCTGGTTCTCTGGAAAAACTATTATTTTGCAAACAAACTTTAAGCCTGAGATTAGGGGGAAGAGTATGCAGTCAAGCTTATGATCGCTTTCATCTGACAGAACAAATATCAGATCTTAAAGATGGCTTCAAAGCTGCAGATAGAGTAGCCTCACAGATTTCCATATTGTGTGAAGTATGACTGTCTCATAATGTGAGTTCCACTTCAGTAGGCTAATTAGTTACAAACGGTACAATTGGTTCCCAGTGGAACTTGTGATTGTTATCTTTTTTTAAATTGCAGGCCATTGTACTGCATAGGGTTAGGGTTAAGAGTGTATAGTTAAATTAAGTGGAACCAAAGCCTTACACAGGAATATGAAAAACTTACAAAAATTCATTTGAGGGTGTATTCATTATCCGCTGTGGTAGTAAAATGTTACCAAAAAACCCTTCTGTGGAGGCAGGGGACTATAAATACATGAGGTGGAATGTTAATTTTTTAATAGACTGTCTCCTCATATTCACACCAACTTTGCTACTTTTAAAACTGCTATTTTATTTTAAATTTGAAACAAACATTCTTTTGAACAGAAGATGTTAGAAAATGAACACACTGTCATAAACTGTGAAGAAAGGCATTGTTATTAATCACTTACATTCTTGGGTTATTTTCTTCTCAAGAATGTATCTGTCTATGGTGAGGTAAATGTTCCGTAGAGAAAGCCCACTATGCTGTTGAAAGCTTTCACAGCCAGAGTTCATTAGTTGTAGATTTTCCGAGCTGTGTGGCCGTGGTCTTGGCATTGTAGTACCTGACATTTTGCCAGCATCTGTGACTGGTATCCTCAGAGGTATAACACAGAAAGATGGAGTACTCTCTGTGTCAATTTTGAGAAGAAAAATGGTAGGCAGGTAATTTATATCTACTCAGCCCTACCCCACCTTCCTGAGTAGATATAAATTACCTGCCTTCCATTTTTCTTCTCACATTGACAGAAAGTACTCCATCTTTCTGCGTTATACCTCTGGCGAAATGTCAAGTACTACATTGCCAAGACCACGGCCATACGGCCCGGAAAATCTACAACAACTAAAGAAAGCCTACTGTTTGTGCCAGCCTTCTGACACTGTAGCATTTCTCTTTAGTGCTTCCATGGGTCAGTTTTTCTTTGCAGAAGTCACAGGACATTTTTTATTCCAACCCATTACATTGGTTGGGATAAAAAAGGACTCCAGTGGTGAAATCAATAGACTGGGGAGGGGGGTTATGCCCCATGTGGCCTTATTATTTTACAGAAAGAAAACTAAGTGGTAAGTGGCTATGGTTAGAATTCTGTACCAACATGCAGGTGACAGTGTCCTGGGGGACATTGCTTACCAGCGTGCTAAAGATTCTTTCCAGAAGGACAAAAACATACAGCTACTTCTCTGACTTTTGCTTAAAAATTGCCAAAGAGGTTAGATTTTTTCCCATTTTGTAGCTCTTGCTTGTACAGGTGGGTGGTGAACCCAGCCCATCATAATTTTTTGCTATTCCACACTGCCTCTGATATGTTTTAAAGTGTTAGCAGAAATCCAGGAATAATTTCTCATATTGTATGTTAGACCTTGAACAGCTTTAGGCTACTGTGTCGGTAGATTGTGTCTATTCAGTGTTTATATTCTGCTCAGAAGCCATTTTTCTCCTTTTCTCCTAGGTCAGCCTTTCTTGCTGCTCACATACCCCTGTTCTTGTATCCCTTCTTGCATACTGTTAGCAAGACTCGCCCCTTTGAGTATCTGCGACTCACCAGCCTTGGAGTCATTGGTAAGTAGCTACTCTGATGCTGAGAATACTGTCAACTCTCTTTTGAGAAACTGAATAGTTTGGTTTAATCAGTTAGAAGCATCCCCTTGACCTGGGGTCAACTCTTGTGAAAGATGTTTCTTTGACAAATTATCTGAAACTAAATAGCAGGCTGTCAGTGCCAGGAAGAACTTATGCATTGTGGTTCAGTAGTTTGCCACATATATTTTCCAGAAACTTTGTAGCAAAGGGACAATTCAGACAGGAATGGAGTGAGATCAAGAGTGAGAATATCTGCAAGTTTTATTCCACTTTTAATTGGCTAGTTCTTCCCTTTAGTTTTCTCCCAGGATTATTTTGCAAATTAAGTTGGGACAATATAGAATGTATGGTTTATATCCAGCAAGCCATGATTGGTGTGAAGAATCTGGAAGTATGCCTCCTGCTGCAGCCGGCTGAGTCCCCTGGACCTTCAGAAACAGAGTGAAATTTTTAAAGAGGGAGGAGGGAATCAGTTAAAATGTGTTTTTTTAATCTGGTGCTCAGAGGAGCTTGGAATTTCTGATTACGAAGCTCAGCCCAACCTGTCTAAGCATGCGATTAAATGAACTTTGTAAATTAAAAAACAATATGCAGTACTCCCTGAAATTTAAGGATCTTGTATTTATAGCCTCAAGAATAGCCTGTTGCAATACTCTTTGTGTTGGACTAGCTTTGAAGAATATTTAGAAATTTAGCTGATATAAAGGCGAAAGATTTATGCGATCTGAAGAGAAACCAGAGTTCGAAACTTCCGCTGATATAAAATTCATAAGACAGGGACTGAAAATCAGAACTCTGGCAGTGATGAGAGAGCAAAGGCTGTGGGTAAGGGTGGGGGACTGTTAGAGAGGATGGGCCCTTTATCCTTTGCACAAAGTCCACAACTCAGGGAAGCTCACAGCATACCCATTCTCCAATCCCTCTGGCAGGAGCTCTTTCAAGGTGGTAACTACCTGCTAACCACATGCCCTACTGTGCAATGGCCTTGCTCGCTTTCCTGGAACAGGGTGTGGTGGTACATTGGGGAAGGGTGATCAGAAGAGCCACAGGTGTCTCCCAAGCTACTGTCATTGGTTTAGTAGTATTTTGACTAATGGAGGGTGATTGGCTTCCCATTGATACATAAAATCCATAGATCTCAGTCATTTATAATGAATCAAGATATAAATGTAGTTGCCAGTCATTGAAGAGTTCACAGAAAACATCCTGAATCCCAAACACATACAGAATAGTTTCATGTGCAGAAAAGTTTTTACATTCTATAGCGTGGAGGGTTTGCATTTCAAGTATTTCAGTGACTGAGGGAAGAGTTCACACAAAGAGGAAGAAAGGGCTACGGAGTCTTAATAGAAAAAGTTGTATATTTGCATGATTGGCACAAGCTTGGTCCTGCTGGTTCTTGATCATCTTCTGTCCTCCAGACTCTCTTCTGTACAGAGAGAATGAATCACTGAGTAAAACTTTTGGAGGAAGGTGACTGTATCTGAAGAAGTGTGCGTGCACATGAAGGGTTATACCTTGAATAAAATTTTGTTGGTCTTCAAGGTGCCACTGGACTCAAACGTTGTTCTAACATGTTAGTAATTCCCCGTTGTAGCCCAGACAAGGGCCAGTTATCTATTTAGACTAACATCGTTAGCTACACAAGAACCAAGAACAGCAGTCTCGTACCATTTCCATTATCTTTTTTGTTACAAAATTATACTAGTATTTAATTGGGTTTTGTTAGTTCTGCTTGTTTCCTATAATTTTGCTTCTGTGAGGATAATGATTAGAATGTGAACTACAAGTGGGGAGACCAGGGTTTAAAGCCTTATTCTGCTATGACGCTTACTGGGTGACCTTGGGCTAGTCATCCCCAACATGCCTAATGGGGCTGTTGTGAGGATAAAATGAATCAAGAGAGCCATGTATGCTGCCCAAAGCTATTTAGAGGAAGGGTGGGATCGAAATATTAAAAATAAATATGTGCGTATTTTTGTAGGGGCCTTGGTGAAGACAGATGAGCAAGAAGTAATCAACTTTTTACTGACAACAGAAATTATCCCTTTGTGCTTACGCATCATGGAGTCTGGCAGCGAACTTTCCAAAACGGTATTGCTTTTAGTGTTATGAACTGATTGTGGTTTCTTGGCTGCTTTCTCTTTACTTTCTAATGCATCATGTACACCATGTTCCTGCATGTATCAAACCTGTTTGCCACACAAGGTTAGTTGGCTGTTTCCCTCTGGGGGGGCAACTGCAGATGTACCCTGTTCAAATTGTCATGATGATGTCTTCCTTCTTTCCCATTTTGTGCTGTTTTCATCCAACATGCTTTTATGCTTGCCACAGCACCTGAGCACAGTGTACCTTCAGACCAAATTATTCTCAGGATCTATTAGGGAAGAAATAATTGTTGTTTAAGCACCGTCCAAGTTTCAGCATTACATGAGATATGTGGACAGGTGTGGTTCATGTGACCCTGGACAGTCTTCATACTTCACTTCATGCTATTCATTCCCTTCGGTATTTTTCATCCTTATACTAGGTAACTGATTTCAGTGACAGTAGAACAGCTGCTAACCACTCTGTACCATTGAAGCTCATGTTTCCCCCCACCGTGGTTTGGTTTGTGTTCCCTCTGGTCAAAGAGACCAAAGAGATTTTAATTTCCTTATGTGTGGCATCAGGCCAGACATTGAGCTCCACCACTCTGTTCCAGTTGTACACCCAGCAGCATGAAGTTTGCACTTAATTTCTTAATGGCTAAAACTTCCTTTCCTAAGCTAAAATGTGCTTTGACCAATCCTTTCAAGCCTCTACCTTGACCCAGAGTTTTTTAAAAATAATCTTTATTAATAGGAAAATTTTACAAAGTTTAATTTATCTCATCATAGTGTAATATAAAAGCTATAACAAAAAATAAGCTAAACAAACCGGGGGGGGGGGTTTCAGGATTTCAACACAGACCTAGTGGGGCTTTATCCAACAAATTGGCATCTGCAATTGGATCCATCTCAAATTATTTCTTCAATTTGAATCTTGTAGAGAAATAATTTATAAAACAATCAATTAATTGGGTCTCAATACATTGAAATAATACATTTTTAAAAGTTCCAAAATGCAATTTAGACACAAAAATAATGCAAAACCAGAACAGTTATTAGAGATACAATTATATACAAATCTCAGCAATAAAATACTAATTTTTCATCTTTGAAAACAAGGGACCAAAGTTCTCAGAATTAATAGTGTTAAATTGTTTGTTAATTTGAGATCTGAAAGTAGTTGAAAGCAATGCTCCCCTCTGGATTTTTTTCCTGAGGAGGCAATGGTTGTTTTCCGTATTCTCTGATTGATTGCACCTGGCTTTCCGAATTAATTTGACACATCTCTTAGGGCATCCCGTTTAGTTGAGATTTTGTTAAGTTGTTGGAAAATAGCTACCATGGTGTCTGCAGTGAGTAAACAAACTTTAGCATATCATCTTTGAGTTTTTCTCCCACATTTTCTCCTGGAGCTACCATATCTAAATTAATGGTCTTTAAATTAGCTGCCGAGTCACAAACAGCTTCCTCCCTTTCAGCCACTTCTGCGTCATTCTCCTAAGGATGCAGCATTTGAGTACTTTGTTCTTTTAGTGCATCCCTATCCTTAGCTCTTATATTAGGGAAGGTAAAAGATATTCCACTCACCAACAATGCTCCCTCTATGCTGTGGAGTCTGGTGAGCAAAATTTCTACTTTGTGAGCTACTGGCATTAAAGTTGTGAGCAAGCGATTTGGCTACTGCATAGATTAGTTAGCTCTCGAGCCATCCTTCCTGAGCTAAGACAAAAATGTGTAAGCCAGAGGCTAAAAAACTGTGAACTAGCTCACACTAACTCAACTTAGAAGGAACACTGTTCACGAATTATTCCCAGAATGAATCATCTATGCACAACTGTTTTACTGACTTGGGGATAGAGGCTGGTGGTGAATCAGAGGTCCTCCTGAGTCTTATATTTCTTCATTTTTTTCCTTCTTTGACTTCTCCAAAGCCATAAGTTGGAGTTATTCCACAACTTCTCGACCCAGAGTTTTTGATGTACTTAGGATGTGAAGGTCCATACAAATGTTCTATACTTAAGCAATTCAACAACTTGTTCATCCCTAACTTCTTCTGTCTTTAGGTTGCAACTTTTATTCTGCAGAAGATCCTGCTGGATGATACAGGGCTGGCTTACATCTGTCAGACTTACGAACGATTTTCTCATGTTGCAATGATTTTGGTAGGCTGTTCTGCTTGTAAAGTTCTTTGGGGAAACTAAATGGTCTCTAGGGCAAGATGTAGTGAGTTTGCTTAGGAGCCCTGTAGGATTAAGGAGCCCTTAATCATACAGCAAGGCCAGGTTCATTAAGCTGATCTCAGGGAACAAATCTGTGCCAAAGCAAAACAGAGGAATACCACGTCACAGTATTGTATTAAAACTGTTCTTGTGTGAGGGCATTCCCTTTTGGAGGAAGTTGCAAGTTCTCAGGTAACTGGGGAGTATATCACAGCTGTGATGGCACTTTAATAAGATGAGCCACCTTTGTGACAGCTCTCTGCTCTTCAATCAATTCCTGTTCTTTTTAGGAATCTGTGATCCAGCTGCACAAAATGTGAACTATTAGAGGTCCTAACTTAATAGACTAGTGCCACAGTTCAAAGAAACTATAAACACACATAACAAAACTACACACTGTGTCTTTGAAGTTCTTGCTGCAGTGCTCCAGCCAGGCAGTTTAAAATTTCTAGCCTCTTCAGCTGTTGGAGCTACTGCTTTGAAAACTTAAAAGTCCTGGCTGTTCATGCAGTATTTGCTTATACAAGCATATAGTTTCTTTAGACAGTTGGCTGCACTTCCATTAATAAACACTGCACTGTTGCTTCCTTATCCAGTTGATACACTTCATATTTTTTTCTTGTGTGTCTAAGTGCTATTTAATAAATCCTTTAAAATATAAAAGGAATTAAGGTAGAAAGGTAGTAAATGGGTTTCGTTACCTCTTTTTTTTTTAACATACCAATAGAATTTGAGTAACTAGTGTTGGGTTTTGGCATAGTAGAATGTATAATATAATTGAAGGCAGAGCTTGCTGTATCAAAAAATATTTGTCCTGCAGTCTTATATCCCAGCCTCTGCAGAGTTAAGCCAGTGCTCTCAATTTGCATTTACACAGAGTTTGTCTAAGTGAGACTGAATTGGCCAGAAATATTTAAAGGATCATTAATTACCCAGGAAATTGTTTCCACCCTTCCAAATAGGACTCCTCGTTGCTATAGTAGTCTTTTTGTTTTCCATAATGGGCTAGAACAGAGATCCTAGGCTCCTACCTCTGCTTTTGCTCTTGCCAGTGATTATTTCAAGGGAAGTACATATTGTCTAGGCAGCAGCATGTATGTCCCAATAACTTTATTTGTGTAGTGCCACCAAGGAGCTAAATTATACTGGGTGGGTGGAGTGCAAGTAGCAAGGAAGGATGCGAGCAAATACTCTTGACTTTTCCATAAGTTCCCTTGTTCTAATATTTCTGTCATTTTTATTTTTTTTTAATCCCAGGGTAAAATGGTCCTGCAACTGTCTAAGGAGCCTTCTGCCAGGCTGCTGAAACATGTGGTCCGGTGTTACCTTCGCCTTTCTGATAATCCAAGGTAGACACCTTAGAAGTTTCTTTAAGTCTGTTGGCAGAGATGGAGGAATCAGTGTTTTCTACTTTCCAGTAAGGGGCCAATTGCCTGATCTACCGGAGATGGAAAAAGGCAGACCTGGCAACTGCGGTGACCTGGGCCTCCATAGAAAGTGAGGCATCCAGGTTCACCCCAGGCTCCTCACCTGGGCTGGCACAAGTGGCACACCATCCAGGGTGGGCAGTCCAATCTTATAGAAAGGCTGGTTCTTAATGAAAGGCTGTTGGTCTTTGTCTGTAGGTATAGTTCTGATGTTCCAGTAGGTAGTTTGGGAAGGATGGGGAAGAGGATATTGTTGTTTGGCATAGATGGGTTTTAACATTAAGGACCCCTACAGTATTCAGGAGGGGGGCTAGCTCCCCTCTTGTCCATGTGAGTTTATTTGTTGGCTCCTCTCTTTCTTGTCTCCTGATGTAGGGCACGGGAAGCCCTCAGGCAGTGCCTTCCTGACCAGCTGAAAGACACCACTTTTGCCCAGGTTCTGAAAGATGACACCACCACCAAGCGTTGGCTGGCACAGCTGGTCAAGAATCTGCAGGAAGGCCAAGTCACCGACCCCAGGGGCATTCCCCTTCCTCCACAGTGACAGCCCAAGGAAGTGACCAAACCCAGGAGGAAACAGCTCAGGTTTACAGAGAGCCAGGAACCAATGACCTCTTCCAGATCTTGTCAGGCATGCATGGGTAGCTCCTTGGACTGTCAATGGCCACCTGGACTGCAGCCCATTCTATAGCAACCTTTCACCATGCCTCTGAGGATCATGACACCAGCAGACACAGTTGGGACAGAGAAGCCCTTTCTTGGGTGTGGACTTCATTGCAGTGATCAGTTGTGCAGCAAGTTTGGCAGGGCCTCTGCTAACAGCACGTCTCCCTGTCTGGTTCAGTGTGGCAGGCTTGGGAAGTGTTCCTCAGTTTTTTTGGTTTTTTGTTATTCAGTGTTTACATGTGAGTTCAATAAAAGTTGGTCTGGTCATTTGACCTTCTTAGGGGTACCTTTTGAGCTGCACCTAGCTCTAGACAGAGGAGGCCTGTTTACCTCTTTCCAGTTGGGAACAATACTTTTAATAGAGGCGACCCCATTATTCTTTAGAAGGACAGCTGTTGTGGTTGGGAACCTTTGAGTTTTAACTCCCAGGGGAGTGGGGCATTATGGTATGTCCTCAGCTTCTTAAATTTTTCCTAGTAGGTTGGAAGGCAATGAATTCCTGGACTGCATTCCTTTGGCCAAGCATTAGAGCAGCCCTTGCCTTGGTGACTGTATTTGAACCAGTGTCAAATGTTCCACGAATCCACCTCCACTTCCTTCCTTGTTGGTAAGACCCAGAATGCTGCCCAAACATTTCTCCACTGTTCAGACTGTGTCAGAGAGGAGAGGTTATTGCTTGCGTGCCATGGCTCAATGCCAACAAGCCATACAGCCTTCATTTTGTTGCAGCCAATGTTAGTATAGGGTTAATGCTACGGGTGAGCAGACAGCACAGGGACCAAGAGCTATTTCGGACAGCTAGTAAAGGCTGCAGGTATTTCACCCTTGCTGGCTGGCGCTGGAAAGCATAATGGCTGCAAAACTCAAGGGCTTTAGTGCTCTTTATCCTCTCCTTACCATGCTACCAAGCTAAGTGCATCCAGTTCATCAACTTGAAGTGAACCCCATTTGTTGGTTCCTTAGCTAAGGAGCCATTAAGCAGCCTGCAAAGCTTTAAGCAACCTTTTGCCTGCCCTCTAAAGAACAGAAGCAAAATAAAAGAAGGGAAGGGGGTACGTAGAAGAAATAATCCAGGCTGTCTGTCAGTTGCACAACAACGCTGGAAGCAGCTGGCTTCTACGCCCTTGCCAGACCTCTTGGCCTCAGCACCCGCTGCTCTTTTGGGTAGGAACGTATCTTCCCTTTTTTAAGTTTTGCTGATGGCTGGCCAGGCCATGCCAAGTGTGTCTTAACTCTTCCGTCTCTACATGAACTGCTTTTGCTCTTGTAGCAGCTCCCAGTTTTATAACAGCCTTGTCTTTCCATCCCCTTCTTTGAGTGCTTCTGTTTTGTAACTTAAATAAAAAATAAGCTAAATGAACCTGGATCCTCTTTGACTTAATGTCTTGGGAGCAGGAGGGTGGCAGGGAGGGTTGTAGGAGTCGTTATAAGGAACCATCTCTACAGAACCTTTCTTTTACCACTGAATGGCAGTGTAGCCTCTACAGAAAAAAAGGAATTATAGTGTGTTTTGCAAATGTTGCGCCCTCTTCATAGCCGGGATGTGTTGCAGCTGGTTTAGCTGGGTGGCAACTATTCATATCCACAGCTACGAAATGGGCTTAATAGTGCTGTGTAGATCAGAGATACATCTTTTTGGTGCTCAAGGAAGCAAAGGTAGTAGTAGAAAGCAAATAAAGACCCTCTAGTGGCCTCCAGCATTCACTCTTACTTCCTTGTCCAATAAGAAAACTGTATGGGGGAAAGGAATGTGTCGTTGGTTTGTCTGAATCTTCAGCAAGGCTGTAATTTGAATCAGGTATTTTCCCAGCTTTCTCTTGCACTCAGTTGTTTCTTGTAGGATGTATTTATATTTTTGAGTAGCCCTGCTGTGACGGCCCCATCCACTTGCCTCCCTTTCTGTTTCCCTTTACTGACTGAGCCACTGTAGTAATGTGTTTTCTTCTTTGCTGAAGAACTCTAGCTGTTCCACCATGTCACAGTATGATATTTTGGCTGTTGGTTCAGCCCAGGAACCTGAGGGAAGGATCAGGAACCTTCTTTAACTTAAACAACTTAAATGGCACTCAAGGCATTTTGAAATTCAAAAATAACAAAATATTTGACATAAAGGGGTGAAATCAGGGGTAAAATTTCTGAGATAATGAATAAATAACGGAGGTAAAATCACTACACGCACAAAGGAGCCAGTTTGGTGTAGTGGTTAAGTGCGCGGACTCTAATCTGGGAGAGCTGGGATTCCCCACTCCTCCACTTGCACCTGCTGGATGACTTTGGGCAAGCCGTAGTTCTGTCAGAGCTGTTCTTGAAAAAGAGCAGTTTTTGTCAGAGCTCTCTCAATCCCACCTACCTCACAGGGTTTTTGTTGTGGGGAGGGGAAGGGAAAGGAGTTTGTAAGCTGCTCTGAGACTCCCTTGGGTAGTGAAGGGCGGGGTATAAATCCAATTAGTTTCAGGCTAATGAGAGTTTCTTAAGCTTTTCACAGTGACTTAAATCTTTATGTTGAGAGGCTTTTGTTCCAGTGTTTTCCCCAAACGCTTCAGTACACTAACTCTTTTGGTTGTCAGAAGGCTGATGCACTCTTTCTAGTACCCAAACCTCTTCTCTTGAAACACCAGTACTCTTCTTGAGTTTTTAACTGACTCTTAAGGTCTCTAAAGGCAGCTTCTAACCGCACCAGGGATCTCTGCACTCTTCAGAGCAATCACCCTGTTTAGACTTGGTAGGGAAATTCCTTCTCTCTCTAGAAGATCTATCCCCTTTCCTTGGCTTGAATGGGAGTCTCTGTCTAACTACCCACTCGTCCTTGCCATCTTCCCCCAGTTTTGTCTGTGTTAAACTGCTCTCAGGGCTGAATTCCAAAACTGTCAGGACTCGATACTTTTCAGCTAGGACTGAAATCAGGCTGAATTCTCCTCAGCATCCAGTTCAGAAGTCTTTTTCTGTTCAGCTAATGCTAACCAATCAGATTCCTTGGAGCAGCCTGTCACTCAAGGCTCTCTGTTTCTGTGAAGAATTAACCTTTCACAGTCTTTCACCTGTTAGCACTTCTAAGCTTTAAAAGCACAGTCTGTCACACTTGACTTTGTTTATTCTCATAATATCATAATATAACCTGTAATTTGAGAACATGCATAAGGCTGGTGTAAAATATACAGGGCTTTAAAAAAAATCGTAGATTGTTGGTTTTCAAAACATTCCTGCCCTGAGTTGCTGAAGTGAGTTCTGCCTCACTATTGAAAGGAAGGGCTGCAATCTCCCTGTAACTATTAGTAGCAGTCTTAAGTCCTAAGAATCTTGTGCTCCATGAAGTGCCAAAAATAGCAGTGAATTTTCCAGGGAGTGCAATAGCAATTCCTGGGTACTGCCAGAAATGTAATTCCCCACACTCTTATCAGTTTGAGATCCAGGTTTTGAGAACTCAAGAGCTGGCAGCCTTAAATGACAGCTACACTTTTAAAGTTGAGGGTTCAATCCCATCCCACTGAAGCCACAAGGAGGATGCCATGTGTAGAATGCATGGTTAAAATTTTTGCAGGATGTCTGACTCCTCAAAGCACATTTTTTATTATCCCCTCCAAATCACAAATTAGTGTGGTAAAAACGAAAAGTCTAGCAGCAATTTGAAGACTTATTATGAGAGCTAGGATGGTGTAGTGGTTATTATTGAGCTAGGATCTGGTAAACTCAGGTTTGAATCCCCACTCTACCATGGAAGCTTGCTGGGTGCCTTGGGCCAGTTGCATATGCTCAGCCTAATCTACCTACCTCTCAGGGTTATTGAGAATAAAATGGAGGATAGGTGAGCAATGTCTTTGGGTCCCCCACTGGGAGAAAGACATATGGTGTTTAATCAAATGCATGGTATGCATAATCAGATAAACACGGTGTGCAGAAAAAAACGAATAGCTGTAGTCAAAAGTCAGAAAATGCAGGAGATAGACTGATGTATACATTTGAGCTGTGCATAGAACCAAGATAATCACAATAATGCACAACAGTTGTCAACCCCAGTGACTGTTGTGAATGCTTACTGTGTTACCTTGTGGTAGTCGTGTGCTGGTCTGAAGCAACTGAATAAAGTTTGAGTCCAGTGGCACCTTTAAGACCAACAAAGTTTAATTCTGGGTATAAACTTGTGTGCATGCACACAAAAAGCTTATTCGCAGAATTAAACTAGGTGCCACTGGACAAACTTTGTGTTACCCTGTATCTATTTGAACTTTGCATAGAAATAGGAAGGAGCTCAGACTGTGTCAGGGTGGATGAGTGAGATAATGTGTAACTATTATAATGCAGGTATAACCCAGAATGCTCCTTTTCCCTGGGGTATTAATTATCTCTCCTTATATATAATTGGGAACTGGGGTGGCACTTTCTGAACATCCCACACGCTCCTAAATCAGTTGGCTACATGATGTGTCACTTAGAAGCTGCCCCATCCACTGGCTGCGTTGCCTGAGTCCCGCCTCCCAACATTCTAAACAGTTTGCTGTTCCTCTCCCCCCCCCCCCCAAAAGCCGGTTGGAAAACGGGTGGTTTGCCTTTGGGGCCTGATTGGCCTTTGCCTCTAATATTCTAAACAGTTTGCTGTTGCTGTTGGGAGTCATTGAATGTGTCCTGAGGTAAAATACATATCCCAATCTTCCCTTAAATGGTCACAGGAGTTGCCAGTCTCCCTGTGGGGCCTGGAGATCTCCCAGAAATCACCGTGTTCCCCAGCCACAGCACATCATTTCCCCTACAGAAAATTTCCCAGCTATTACAACTGATCTCCAGATGACCAAGATCAGTACTCCTGGAGACAATGGCTGTTTTGCGCAGTGGACTCTATGGGCCTTCCTCAGTGGTTACAGTTATCAATATAGTATAGACACACATTCATAGACCTGTATACAAGATCTTTAGTACTCATATATTAAAACCAGACGTTGTTTCCTTGTATATTTGTAATTGTATTGCTGGTATTAGTGATGGGCCATAGGTATAGCCATATCAATTCCACCAATTATTCTGGTAACAGAGATTTCATAGGTCTGAATGTGTGTCCCTCCATCAAGCATTTTTACCAGCAATACAATTATAAATATATAAGGAAACAACGTCTGGTTTTAATATATGAGTACTAAAGATCTTGTATACAGGTCTATGAATGTGTGTCTATACTATATTGATAATTGTGACCACTGAGGAAGGCCCTTAGGGGCCGAAACGCGTTTGGTCTTCAGTAGGAAAGTGTTTACCCATCATATGTATTAACATTTGATACGTTTTTATAAGTCTGATACTTAAAGATTTTTATCAGTATATGTTTTAACATGTGTACATCCTAATAAATATTTGTACTTTTATAATATACATTGTTAGCTTAGCCCTTTGTTTCACAGTCTTATCTTGGGTTGAGTTTCTTCCCCCCCCCCTTTTTTTCCAGTTTTTGTCAGTGGACTCTATGGCATTATAGCCTGTTGTGGTCCCTGCCCTCCCCAGGCTCTACCCCTCAAATCCACAGGAAGTTCACAACCCAGAGTTCACAACCCTGTAACTGGCTATGGAACTGTCTTCCAGACTCTTGGAACCCAGAAAACATGGCATAGGAGGAGGTGGTTTTCTACCTTCTGCCACTGCATAGCCCCAAATTAACATAAGCCAACCTCCAGGCAAATCTCCAGCTATTAAAACTGATGTCCAGATGACCAAGATCAGTTCTGGAGACAATAGCTGCTTTGGCCAGTGGACCCTATGGCCTTATACCCTGCTGAGGTCCCTCCCCACCCTAAACCCTGCCCTCCCCAGGCTCTACCCCTCAAATCTACAGGTATTTCCCAACCCAGAGTTGGAAACCATGTAATTGGCTATGGAACCACTTTCCAGACCCTTGGAACCCAGAAGACATGGCATAGGAGGAGGTGCTTTTCTACCTTAGCTGCCACTGCATAGCCCCAATTAACATAAGCCAACCTCCAGGTGGCACCTGGAGATCTCCAGCTAACCTTCACATTGTGAAGACCTTGGGTTCTGTTATTAGAGAGTCAACATGGAATGTTTCCTTCAAGAGTTGATAAGTAGTAATTGATAAGAATTGTGATTGCTACACGCTCAGATAAAGCAAATATTGTGAAACGAATTTATATTGTGCAGCATTCGTTAGCATGTGAAGAGAATTTTCTACAGAATTACTACAGTAAATGATTTTGCAACATATCTTTATTGACTCTTTGTTATTTTTGTCATGGATGTTGTTGTTGGATTTCCTCAGCCTCCAGACAGCACCTGGAGATCTCCAGCTATTACAACGGATGTCCAGATGACCAAGATCAGTTCTCCTGGAGACAATGGCTGCTTTGGCCAGTGGACTC